ATAGCCAGGAATTTATGTTAGCTGGACATACAAAGTGACCTGTTTCTGCATTCATAACAATCATTATCTGGGAAAGATTGCTGTAAATGAAGAAATCTATGTAGGTATAATTGACAAAATGAAATAATTCCAAAAAGCAGCTCTACCTTTAACAAATAAAATCAATAACTGACTAAAGCAGATCAGAACTTATTTCACCTGTGGTAAAGTCAGAGGTATCACTCGGCTGTAGCTCCTCAAATCATCTCTGAATTGGTGGTGTCACTGTCCTTCCTTCTGGAGGGTCTCTACTTTTGCTCCCCGTGGTCCCTGTGTGTGCTGCAAAGTAGCCACGGCTCCAAGCCTGCTCCCGTGATGGACTAAAATCTTTAGTTTACTAATTTGTATTGAGATTGTAATCCATCAGGGGAGCAAGTTTGGAGTGGTGGCAACTTTACAACACACGCAGAGACCATGGGGAACAAAAGTAGCCACCCTCCAGAAGGAAGGACAGAGTCAGCACCAATTCAGAGATGGTTTGAGGATCAAAAGTGCAATTAAGGACCACTATTGCAGAATATATTGTATGTTAATAACTATATGCAGTTACAGTGAAAGTAAAGAAAAGAGAGGCCCCAGGAGCTTTTAACCAAAATGTGCTTGTATGCGCCATATATTAGCACCGACCAGCAGACCTACTTGCCAAAGCAGTGCTTCCATCTTCACTCCATCTCCTTCCAGGATTGGAGTCTTCAGCTGCTTGATTGGCCAGGACCAGCTGAGGTAACTCCCATGCATGCACACGAGAGTTACGTAGCCTCTGCACGAATCCTGCCGAGGTTGTGCATTAAGCTGCGCGTGCACAGCTCAGGGTACAGAAAGAAGAAAAAAAGTTGACATGAAGGAAGGGGAATCTATGACAGACTTGTACAGTCTCTTCTATCATAATGAGCCTGCCAGCACATTTTTTTAATATATAGAACACTTCCACTTTAATATAGGTGTAGCCCCTACCACATGTATTTAGTGGAATGGCTGCTAGAAATGTATTGATTGCCAGAGCTGTAGTCAGCTTGGCTGAATTATAGTTGTCATGTATCTAGTTAATTCCAGGTGTTCTTGCATTGATTGTACCTGCCTGAGTGGAGTGTGACTCTGCTGCAGTGTGGGACAACCAATGGGGAACACTGTGAGTGTGTGCACAGTCCACCAGCCAAACACTGGGGCTCTCATAGCCAGTTGTGCATGCTGAGGAAGTGGTTATATACTCAAGGGAATTACCATATGCTCAGTCTAATCCAGCCTGGGATAGCTCAGAGTCCAGTCAGGGCTGGGTGCTGTCCAACCTGTCCCCGGGCTAGGCCTGGGAGTGGGAATACTTGAGTGCGGAAAAATGCTTTGCTAGGCCTCAAGCCTGGAGGAGGCCTTTGCTACTGATTTAGGAGGAGAACCAGGGAAGCTGGAGGTGCCTGGAACAGAGTGGACCTCACAAGCAAGTCGGGTGTCTCCCCTACTGAAGATTCTATGCCAATCTCTATTCAACGCCAATCTCAATTCAACGGTTGCACAAATTTCTAGTGACAGCATGTGCTCCTATTGAATCTGCACAGGAATTCAGAAAGGGATTGGTGAGTCTAGAGTCTATCTAGTTTCCTCATTGATGTCCTATGCCCTATACCCTCTCTCCCAGGTGGATATGTTAATATAGTTCTTCTGCATTATACTTTGGCCTGGATTTCAGCTCTATGGGTCACGGGAAGGGGGCGGTTAATATTACTGGGGCAGCTAATTGCTAAAATACCTAGACAGCCGAGAGTTGACCCAGGTATTTTCGGTGGTTTCTTCAGGGGTAAGCACTACACATGTAATGATAGTATTCAGTTAATATTGTTCATTTTTTTATTATTATTTATATATATATATATTTGTTCTCATTTACATGTATACCAAGCTGACCAGCAGTAGTGACAGGGATCGGGACAAAGTATAACTGCCTGGGAAGGGCAGGGGGTGGTCTTGATTACATGCATCGATAGTTTAGACAGTTTTGCGCCCTTGCATTTGTTAGGACATGTTTTTATGCGTTGAGGCACATTCTATAAATGGGTATATGCAGCAAAAACTTTTTTTTGTTTTGGATAGCGTAAATAAGGACTAGAACCTTTCTCAAATTCCTACTGCTATCTGGGGCTTTGTAGAGAGCGTTGCATACTTTTAAAGGGTGACTGAAAAAAGGTTGAGAAACTCTGCCTTAAGTTGTCATTTCCTTGGCAAGATTTTAGGAAACCTTTAGGACTCATTTACACCATTAATTTTGTGCGTCGTAGTGTGCTGTGCCCGAAGAGTACTGCAGATACATTTTCTTGCCTCTTCTTGTACATTGGTGACCATTTAACATGCATGTCTTATTGCAATGCACCAAAGCATAGAGGTATGGCTGTGCCCCAAAATAAAACTTTGCTTTTGTTGAGAATGAAAAAACAATGCTCTCTAGTTCATTTTATAAACATTACAACGATTTTAGCAAACTTCTTCAAACTGAGTGCTAAGTGGTGTGGTCTACCTGCAATAATTGATCAGCCCCAGTGTTCTAATAAGACAAGGATTGTATCCTCAACATCCCTGTATATGTATAGACAATGTATTATACCAAAGATGAAAAGGCTTAATGCAATAAATCTAGGAACAGTGCAAGGGATGCCTGAAATTCAACAAAATCTCTGAGCAGGGTTCTTGAAAATGCTGTGAGGCAATCAAATGAGTAGGAAATGGGATTTATAGAGCACGTTGTACACAGATCACAGTTACCATGGTAGCAAGAAGAGGAATATGAAATATTTTTGGCAGTTTAGAAACTCTGCAGGGTGCAGACTGAAATGGAAGGGCAATTTTAAATAACATTATATTACAAAGTAATTTGCACAGCCATTATATGTGTTGTATCATGTCTTAATAAAAGTCGAGGTTTTTCCTTTTCTGTACTCTGGATAGTCTGCCTATAAACCATGTAGCAAAACCACATTTCATTTGTGTGAATCCAGGACCCAGGCAGAGAACAGTGCTATGCAGCAGCAATATTGGACTCCTGTTGGCTAATTCTCTACTTTCCAGTGGACTTACTCTGCAATGCACAACATATCCCCTGCACGATTCCACATGCTGTCTTACGAAATAAGTCTGCAAAAATTATTTTGACATGATAATGTTTTTCTGGTCTCAAGTGCTGGTTTGTAAATGAATTTGATGTTACCCAGTCTGTTAAAACAAAATTGTAAGCACATGAAGCAAGCTCACAAATACAAACAAAATGCATAAAATCAAGTGTGATTTATTCAGCTATATTTCCCACAGCTGTTGAATTATTCAATTTGAATGCAAACCTGTTGACATTTTCATTTAATTGACATCTCAAATAAACATTTTCCTACAAATAAAAGCTTAAGCTTTATTATGAATTATCTTGAAGAAAACAACAAATGTAACAAAGAGCATTCAAAATCTAAAAAGTATAACAAAACAATTACTTTTCTCTTTTTTAATTTCCCCTATGTGTCTTTCTTCCTTGTTCATGCTTACAGCACATTTTGTGGTGACTTAACCTCTACAACTAATTGGCAAAATGCATTCACACATTATGGATCAGTTGACTAAGAGAACGCTAAACTCCCTGCTTACCTTGTTCACCCTAATAGCTAGGATATTGCAAATAAATGGGGGAGTCAGTAAACTTTCCAGCTGAGAGTAGGCAGTAAATGAGAAGATATTAGTAACAGCACATGAGGAATAGATTGATCAGTTGGGTCAGGGAGAGAGATTGGCCAGTTGGGACTGAGGGAGAGAATCGTCAGTTGGGTCAGAGGGAGATATGGTCAGTTGACTCAGAGAGAGAGAGATTGGTCAGTTGGGTCAATAGGAGAGTAAATCTGGAGTTTGATTTTGGAATGAATTGAGTTTACAAAACAAAAACCACATTTTACTGTTAAAATTTAATTAGTTTAAGAAAACTTTTTCCATCTTGCTCTTTGAGTTTTTTTGGCACTACGGTCAAAATTGTTTGTCGATTTGACCCCATCAACTAATAGAAAGTCGAACGAACATTCTTTCATACAAAAGTATTGTCTGGATCCGTCCCGTCTGTGGCACTATCAGTATATCACGGGCAATAGCCCACGATATACGGAGCTTTGGGTCACGGGAAGAGGTTAGTATATGTCCTCTCGTGACCCTGAAGAGAACTATGGGGAAAAACACTTACCCCATAGTTCTCTTTTAAGTTTCAGCCTTTAGCCAATGTGCCACCTAAAAAAGGTATAGAGACATGATTTCTTTAGATGTTACATTTATAACAAAACAAGGTACAGGAAATTACTGCAGCAATATCTCTGTCCAGTAGGCTGAAAATATTCTGAATGGCATTTCACTATTTATCCCAATATCTGTCATTTGAGCATATCTGGCTGGGTTTATGTCAGCCTGCAGACATGATAGTTCCAGTGCTCCATTGCTAAGGCAAGTCTGGCGACATCCATCCCACCGGAAACCTGTGGGATAACTAAGGTATCTTGAGATGTGCATAACTGCTTCCATTGCAGAGTGGTAGAAAAAAAAATAGGTATTTTCCATAGACTTTTCACCTATTAGGCTATAGCCAATTTCACATAATAAATTCATATGAAATACTGTTGACTGAATGTCACTAAAGTGTAAATAAATACTGTATGTCTAACTATATGTCTCTGAAGGATCTCATTTATCTAGGGCATGGTATATCTAGTAGTAGTTAGTCTATAGTAGTAAGGCTAATCCAAGTCACTTCTTCAGTTCTAATGAGTGTCAGGAAAATACTCCAGCATTTATATAGTTGCCATATTTTACCTTGCTTAATTTTATTTTACTCTGTAGCTGAGCAATTATTGGTAGGTCATTTAATATCCAGTCTGTATAATATTGATTATAATTATTTGACATCTTACTAAACATTAACATTCTGCTTAACAAAGGTATTTGGCTTTCTTTTTCAGCGATCTGGAGGAGCATTAGCAATACCATTATGTGCTTTCCAAGGGACAGTATCACTTCATGCACCTACTGGTAAAACCCTCTCTTTATCTACCTATGAAGTAAGCAGTGAAGGTCAAAAGATTACTCCTACTTCAAAGAAGATAGAAGTTTACCGTTCAAAAAGTGTAGGCCATGAGCCAAGTAAGGAAGACTCTCCCACCCAATTTCCAGGCACAAATGTGAAGATCCACCTAGAGGTTCTTGAGATATGCGACAATGAAGAAGCCATGGACACTGTATCAATTATAAGCAATATAAGCCAATCCTCAAATCAAGCTCGTTCGCCTTCTCTGCGCTACTCCCGCAAGGAAAACCGCTTTGTGTCTTGCGACCTGGGAGAATCTGCTTCCTACTCCCTCTTTATTCCAACTAATAATCCAGACAGTGATATAAATATCTCTATTCCAGACACAGTGGAGGCCCACCGACAAAACAGTAGGCGGCAGCATGCGGAGAGAGAAAGCTATCAAGAGGAGATACAGCTGCTGAACATTGTAAGGTATCTTTCCAGAAAAAGAAATTCCTCACACACAATATAGTAGGTTTTATTTTACAAATCATTCACATAAATTTACATAATCTACATAATTTCACATTCACACAAATAAAATATAAATTTTTAGGAAAAAAAAAAAGTAACCAGTTAATTAATATGAACAGTATAACATTTCCCCATATTAAAGCCATAGTGCAATCAACAATACTACCGTAGTTCAAGTGAACCGGTGAAGATAGAGAAATAAGATCTGCCATTGCTGACTTTTTTAAATTAAAAGTGCAGGCTCTAGAGCTGTTATCCTCACCCTAGCTTCCGGTGCGCCACTTGCCGCGTTTTCCTGTGCGTCACTTCCGGTGGCCCATTTGCCGCATTTTTCTGTGCGTTCTGCGCATTCACCTAAGAGTTCTACGAACAGCACGGAAACCTGGATTTGGCGCAGGAGGTGAGGGTTGCTGACACTAGGGGTAATTTTACTCACTTTTGACGATCAGCTTTTACAGCTCTCTTGAGTAAATTATTGAAGTGATGTCCAGACTGTAGATATTATGCTTAGAACTTTTAATGCAGAAGTTCAGGGAGAGAGGTGGAGAGTTAGGATCATACAGGCATATCTAGACTCCATTGCATTGCAGAGTGTTATTACTGTTTCCATGCACAGCAGATAGTTCACCTGACACAGCACTACTTGAGGTAGAAGTTACTAATCCTTGTCATCAGCAGTAACCACTGGACCTGTACCCAGCAAACTCCAGTGTAATCACTCGGCTAGTCCTCAGGCTTTAGGCCTAGCCATCTCAGACAATTCATAGCAGTCTCTCCGCAGGAAGGGCTCGGGGAGGAAGAGAAAGATCATATGGTCCACCCCAAGTTTTTATCTCCTCTCCCAGCATGTACCACTGGCCATTGTCTCACAGTGATTGGCCGGAGCAGAATATCTACTCATAGCAATTTCTCATTGGTTGCTCTGTTCTGTGACCAGGGTATACACTGCAGTACACCTAGCAACAGACAGATGCAAACATTGACAGGTTGTTTAGGGGAAACCAAATGAACTCAGACTACAAATCAGCATCAGTGTGCATACAATCTGACAATACTAAATGTAATAGCACTCTTTCCAGCAGGGTGCGACACACTCCCCAAACTTAGAAGACTACATCCCGGAGTCTACACTAAAATAAGCTCTTGTCCTGAGAGTGGATGGTCCTAGTGAAAAATTGGATAGGTAAGGGAAGAAAAAGGAAAGGGTTAATATACTAACAACATACGAGTAGCATTCCACACGAAAATAAATTTGTATCAAAAGTAAAAAAATATCAGTAGCAAAACCTAACTATCTCTAAATAAAGTACTTAGTTACATCAATAGTGGCGCATATGAAGTAGAGCCCTACTTCTGACTGAGTGAATATTATCATATCCTATACTTATCTAACACTTAAATCCTATAGCCCAATCACAGTTGATCCAAGTCTACACATATCCCCTGAAAGGAGAAGAAAAGAACAACACCATAGGCATTAACCTTATCCTATGTAAACATGAGGCCAGGGCCGGACTCCCAAAGGAGTGAAACTCTGCTTCTACAACAGTAATCTATCTTGTTAAGTCCATCCCTGAATAGGAAACTATATACAATGAATACATTCTAGTGGAGGGTTACCAAATTCGACTTTCGAGAGTATATCTGATGAATCCTTTGTCCCCACTGAAAAAATCTTGACACGTAGTCCTGTAGCTATAAACAAACATCCTATCTACAAACTATCTTATTAAACACTTATATAAACATTTGTGCTGTTGCATGCTGACTTAGGAATTACTCCTGGACCCATAACCAAAGGGCCTGCACCCATCAAGCTCCAGTGTAACTACTCGGCTAGTCCCCAGTCCCAGGGGAGGAAGAGAGAGCTCACATGGTCCACCCCAAGTTTTAATCTCCTCCCCCAGCATGCACCACTGGCCATTGTTTCACAGTGATTGACTGGAGAGGAATATCCACTCATAGCAATCCCTCATTGGTCGCTCTGCTCTGTGACCAGGGTACACCCAGCAGTACACCTAGCAGCAGACAGATGCAAACGATGACAGATAGTTTAGGGGAAACCAAATGAACTCAGACTACAAATCAGCATCAGACCATATAAAATCTGACAATGCTAAATTTAATAGCACTCTTTCCAGCAGGGTGCTATAGTCATAAAATAGCTTTAAAATATCGGAATGTGTATCTTGATTTTCAAGATACCATATGTTTCCATATTTTTAAATGCCTTAGAAGCAATCCCCCAAAAACACAAAAAAGTAGGGGCTCCCTCTTTACATCAACGTCCCCCCTTTAAATCAGGAACCCATTTTATATCAAAGTTCCCCCTTCACAACAGAATCCTTAGTCCCCCCCTTTAGTCATAGATGACTACAAATCACAGCTATACATTATACAGCAACGCCAAATGGCAACCAGCTATAGAGAACTACCAATCTCAGCAATACATTATACAGCAATGTAGAATAATGTGAAGCTTCAAACTCTGTGCTGCTCCGGGGTGCTGGCCTGATGTCTACAGCAGAGGGCTTTAGGTGGGCTGTGAAGGGTCTCAGGAGGGCCGTGCAGGGTCTCAGGAGTTTTTTTTCTATTTTTAATTTTATTTTATAAACTTTATTTTTTCAATTATATTATAATCTTCTGAACAACGGGAACAGACAGCAAAACAAACGTGACCCTTCCCTATGCTATCCAAAACTAAAAAAAATTTTGGCTGGAGTTACACTTAAAAAATGTACCAGTTCCGACTTACATACAAATTCAACTTAAATACAAACCTTCAGTCCCTATCTTGTATGTAACCCGGGGACTGTAGTCAGTAAAGTCATAATGAAACCATGACAACTGTTTTGCTCACTAATTTCATAGGATCAACATGACAGCAAGACAAGGAGCCTTTTAGGTAGTGAACAACAATGGCAGCCTACATCAGCCTTTCTCAACCAGTGTGCTGTGGCACCTTGGGGCGCCTTCTGGCTTCCTCAGTGGTGCCTCGAAATCTTCGGATGGTAGGTCTTTGATATGAAGGGTGATTGAGGACTCTGATGTGAAGCGGAGACTGAGGACTGGGATGTGAAGAGGGCTTCTGCAATGAAGAGAGGTACTCCTGATGTAAACGGCACTCTGATGTAAAAGTGGGGGCTCCGATGTGAACGGGGACTTTAATGTGAAGGGAAGAACCCCACTTTTTTTTGTATTTTTGCACGGGGGATCCAGCCTTAAAATCCATTACATTTTAGACTGGGATGCCTCAAGTTTTTTTAATACCTTTATAGAGTGCCACGACTGAATAAAAGTTGAGAAACGCTGGCCTACATATTTTAATTCTCACATTTGCTTTCCATTTGTAGACCCTGTTAGGCACTTGCTACGGGATTAGCGTCACTGAGGACGCAAGCACTAAGCATAAGCTGCACAGTACAAATAAGAAGGTGCTTATTTATTGCTTTCAAGGCAGCTCACGTTCTGCTGTTTAAATATCCAGTTATCCTCTAAGCCTAGTGGGACCTCTTTCCCTCTCTAAATGGGTCTTGTATAAAATTAGTGAAAAGTGTTATATGTCATTTCCTTGATAAACCCCATCTGTTGTCTTAAAATAAACTAGAATGAAAAGCACTGATGCAATCCTTTCAGGTTTTGTTAACTTAAAATCATTATTTTCTTTCATTAGCTCAGACATCTTATTACATTTGTCAGAAAGAAAGATATTATTTTTCATAAAGCATTATCATAATGACCCGATTTTTCCTGCAGCAAATGCAGCGTGCAGATGGATAAGATTAGGCCATATTCCAAATTAGCCTTGTCAACAGTGAAAGCATAAAATGGAATTGTGTATGCTCTCTAGGTGTTTACTGCTGCATACATGTTTGTTTGTGAAAGCATCTGTTTCATACATTGTGCCATTTGGAATAGATATCCAATAGCATATTACCAATTCACCACGGGCAAGTATGTTTTAGAAACTCAGTGATAATAGGACTGCAATGGCTTTTAGCTTCTACTATAACCACAACAATGTTGTTGATGGAGAGCAAAATAATACTAAAAGTAGCTTACATCACTTGCGCTAAGGTAAACTGATTATCTGTTCTGCTGGCACTAGCTAGCTTTAAACTGCTTAGTCTGTAATTGCTACAACAAGTTAGAAATATTTGTCCCTGTAATGTTTGTTAAAATATCTTGAATGCCTAGAGGTAGAAATGAAAAATATGAATACAATATGTATTTGTCTTTATCTTAGGGTTGGTGCCTAGTACTCTAAGCACTGCCGTAAGTAATTTAACAGGATCTAGACAAACAGCATCTATTATATATCATATTTCACAAAGCGTAGCGATAGAAGTGAGTCATATCATTTGCTTCTAAATACACTAATTTCAAAGGTTGCTAGGTAACTACACAGATGCCAGTGAAAAAAAGTGCAATCATTCTAAAGTTGAATTGTTATATTTTTTTATTTATTTATTGATGCACCGTGTTCCTCACCTGAATGGTAGGATGATTAGCGGTTAGCTTAATTTTGTCAGGGTGGCCCTATACAACCATATCTAATACTAAGACTGATGAGCGGTAAAATATCCCCTGTGCACCCTCGCTGCATGACCTTGCCACAATTTTTCTTTTCAACCAGGTGCAGAAAAACAATATGGATACAAATATTTTCCAACGGTTTAGCAAATCTTTGGATACAGTAATAAGTGGTTCACTGTGTACATATGTTGGAGTTAACCCTTACACAGCTCAGTACTAATGCTTGAAATGGCCACATTATTGGTCTTCAATTATTGGTAGGTGTATGGTCTCCCTCAATACCCATTAGCTTTAGGTACTGTATGAAAATGAGATACAGTAGATACACTTAAAGGCCAGTTCACACCATGGCTGTTGAGATGCATTTTTCTGCACACCACTGTGTTCTATGTGCCCTGTTCACATCATACATGTGCTGTTCTGTGCAAAAAACGCAGCTCAACAGACACGGTGCCAACAAGCCCTAAAAGCAGGGCCATCCTTATAATGAGGCAGAGTGAAGAGATGTGGCAGATATGTGCAGAGAGTGTTCCAGGTTGCTAAAAGCTCTTAGCAACCTGTGACGCTCTTTTCGGTTTCCTGCCCAGCTCCCTGATGTTGTTGGTTGCCAGGAGCTTAGCGGGGCACTCTGAACATCCACCTGACTCAAACCAACCCAAGCCCCCGGACGAACATTGACTGACAGCAGCCCCCTGACCCAACCTGGAACGACCATTCTCTGACAGCACCCCCTTTCTTTTTTTCCCCTTGGAACAACAATTCACTGACAGCACCCACTCCACCCTCCCACCTCAAATAATGGCAAATAGCGTTGGGGCAGCCCTGCCTAATGCTACCCATACATTGTTTTATTTGTTTTTTCAT